CTGCTCGGCAGGGAGTCTGCTTCTCCCTCTGACCCTCCCCCCTCTCATGCTCTCTCTATCTCATTCTCTCTCAAATGAATAAATAAAATCTTAAAAAAAAAAAAGTTCAATCAGTTCATCTTACAAACACATATTCTTCTTAATATCCCACCTGTAAATATAAGCAGACTACCAATGATTGCCAGGCAGCTAAGGAAAGTCTGTAACATGAAAGACTAAAAGCAAAACAAAAAGGGAAAAAAAAATCACGCAGGAGATGAAAGCTTCAACAAAGCATATTAATGTTCTCAGAGATAAGATGCTGCAACCATGGAATGAGGTCCTAATTAAAAAAAAAAAAAGGAACACTTAGACAATCAACAGGAAATCTTCCATAAAGGAGATCAAAAAGTCAAGAAAACGGGAGGTGGTAGGGACAGAAAAAATAAGAAAAACAGAGATAAGTCCAGGAGATCCAATATCTGAACAGGATTCCAGAAAGAAAAGCCAGAAAACTAAAGGAAGGAAATCATTAACAACGAATTCAAGGAAGTTTCCCAGAAGTGAAGGACCAGAGTCCATTCTGAAAGGGTTCAACAACAGCCTGGCACTGCATGAAAACAAACCTTCACCAAGGCATGCCACCCTGAAATTTCAGAACGCCAGTGACAGAAGGGAGAAAGAGTCACATACAAAGAATCAGGACTCAGGAGGGGTAACAAGATGGCGGCGGAGACGGTGGAGCTCCATAAACTGAAGCTTGCTGAACTAAAGCAGGAATGTCTTGCTCGTGGTTTGGAGACCAAGGGAATAAAACAAGATCTCATCAACCGGCTCCGGGCGTATCTTGAAGAGCATGCTGAAGAGGAGGCAAATGAAGAAGATGTACTGGGAGATGAAACAGAAGAAGAAGAACCAAAGCCCATAGAACTGCCTGTCAAAGAGGAAGAACCCCCTGAGAAAACTGTTGATGTGGCAGCAGAGAAGAAAGTGGTAAAAATTACATCTGAGATACCACAGACTGAGAGAATGCAGAAGAGAGCTGAACGATTCAATGTACCTGTGAGCTTGGAGAGTAAGAAAGCTGCCCGGGCAGCAAGATTTGGGATTTCTTCAGTTCCATCAAAAGGTCTGTCATCTGATGCCAAACCTACGGTTAACCTGGATAAACTAAAGGAAAGAGCCCAAAGATTTGGTTTGAATGTCTCTTCAATATCCAGAAAGTCTGAAGATGATGAGAAACTGAAAAAGAGGAAGGAGCGATTTGGGATTGTTACAAGTTCAGCTGGAACAGGAACCACAGAGGATACAGAGGCAAAGAAGAGGAAAAGGGCAGAGCGCTTTGGGATTGCCTGATGAAAAGCTCTTAATGCTTTCTGTTCTCCAGTGGTTTCCATCTCTCTGACTTTTCTTGGTCATATGTATACCTAAATGCACAGTCATGTGTCTAGGTTCTGCCTCGCAGTGAGAGAGCATGTACCCTGGGTACATCCAGGAACTTCAGCAGCAATTTGACTCATTGCTGTTCCAACTTTAAGGTTGTTGTTGTTGTTGTTTTTTAATTATTATTTTGCTTGTTAATAAAAAACAAATAGAAAAGAAAAAAAAAAAGAATCAGGACTCAGAATGGCTTGACTCTTCTAACAGCAGCACTAGATGGTAGGTGAAAAGTAACAATGCCTTCAAAATTGTAAAGGAAAATAAATTCCAAACTGGAATTTCACACCCGATCAAGTATGAGAAGAGACATTTTTCAGACATGCGATTCACTCAAACTACTTTCCATGCACATCTTTTACTGCAAGCACTCTACCAGAATGAGGTAATAAATCAAGGGGAAAAACAGAGACTCAGGAAACAGGAGACTCAGCAGGGGAGAGCCCATGATGACAGCACGATATTAAGCATAAGGGAGAGCCAATCCAGATAGGGGCAGGTCAAGAAATCGATAAAACAGATGATGTGTTAATGTCCTTAGAGAATTTGGGTTGAATTAATGACAAGTAGAGAGAAAACTAAGCTAGTAACTAATAAAAATGCAAGAGGATTACTAATTCTAGGGAAAAGAAAGTTCTGCAGGAAGGTAATCTCATCCACTACATGGCTCAGCTGTGATTTAAACACCCATAGTAAACACTTAATATATAATCTAACTAGAATTATATCAGGGGGATGGGTGATGGGGAGTACATGCATGGTGGGCAAGAGAGAGAAGTCAACGATAATGCCTACAATGCAAACATCAATAAATAGCCACGCACACGTTTAAATGGAGACTTGGTGGCAAATATAAACTTACCAGCCAACAGTTGAAAGGGAACACCGTGAAGTGGGAAAAATGGGGAAGGGCAGATAGGGTAGGAGGGTTGCTGTTTTTCTTAACAAACGTCGCAGAACTACTTGCTTTTTCAATGCAAAATAACAGATTTTCTTCCTAAAATGCGGGGTATAAAACTGTTTACAAACCTATTTTGTTAATTTATTGTTTTTATTTATTTATTTATTTTTTGGGTTTTACTATTTATTTATGACAAACATCCCACATCCGTGATCTCCAGTCAGAAGTTCTTGGAAACGATGCCATCGGCCTTGGCCAGTCGGAGAATGGAGTCATCGGACTCACCCATCCTGCGAATGGCCCCACAGATAGCGTAGGTTTTGAACTGGCCGTTGAACCTGCCCGTCACCTTATCAACCTCAGCCACGTTCATCTGGATGGACGCGTGGTCCTTGGCGCCGATGATGCGGTTGCTGGCGGAGCATTTCCGCGGCACGTACAGGTCCACGAACTCGCCGGCGTCGTTCTCCATGTCGAGGGCGCGCCTGCTTCCACCACCACGAGCTCGAGCGCAGAAAGCAATTTATTGTTTTTAAAAGTTTCAAAATTTTGCGAGTGCCTGTGTGGGTTCTCAGGTCATGATTGTGGGATCCTGAGATTGAGCCCTACATCAGGCTCACTGCTCAGCAGGGAGCCTGCTTCTCCTCCCTCTGCCCCCGCCCCACGCTCGTGCTCTCTCAAATAAAATCTTTATAAAAAAATATTTTGAAAGTTTCCAGATTTTTACTGCGCACATTTAATTAAAAATGAAACCATAAATGGAAACTCCACTTTTCAGGATCTCGGTAGGGTTACAGCTAGTTTTTACTGCGTGTAGAATCATGCAAGACTGATATTCCTGCATCGTTCCCAAGGTAAACCATATCCGGTCAGCTTTTTATGCAATTCATGTGTTAAGTATAATGTGTAAGTAAAGTCTTGTTTACTATAAAAGTATGATAATTTAAGCAGTGACCCTACTAAAGTAACATATTCTAGTCCAGGATATCAAAATGTGGCCACAGACCTACTGAATCAGATCTACCTAGCTTGGGTGGCAAAGGCATTGCTTAACATGCAGATTCCTGGGCCCTACCCCAGACCAATTATTCAGTAATCTCTAGGAGTAGGGCCTTTCTGGAATTTTCATTTCTAACAAGATCCCTAAAGTGATGTTGAAAACTACTGCTCTCCCTCACTATATTATTCAATAGTGTTCATTAATAAGCCAATAAATCAATGTCTGTAAATCAAGCTCACAGGCAGGGAGGAGGGAAAGGAATCCATGAAGGGTAGTGGATATCACGTCTACCTGAAAGAATTCTACTTAAAACACTTAAGAGAAATTCCACTCCATATGTAACTCAATGTACAAGTTTCTTTTCTTATCAGAAACAATATATTAACTCTTGGTCAAACCTAAAACAAATGAACTCTAACTCCATTCACATGAAGTTCATTTGAAATGGTTCCCAGTCCAGGAGCAACCCCCGCCCCCCCCCCCCCCCCCCCCGGGGGTAGCACAGCCTGCAGGGCCATTAGCATTCATCCAAATGTGTCAGAGGAGCTGGGGCTGCTGGAGCAAGAGGTGCAGGGGTTGCTCTGGGGGATGGATCTCTGAAGCCTTATTTCCAGGCCTGCAGTATCTGACCAACACTCTGAGGCTTATTCCTTAGTTCTTTATTACAGGAATAACGCAAGGTCTGTTAACACGGTGGTAGTGTCATGATTATAAGGCAAAGCTTGTTAGAAAATTCCTACTTGATGCCTAGTTAACAGATGTGTTGGATTTTCTTCTTTTATTACTTGAACAATGTGTCCCATGAGCAATGTTCTAAGGGCAATTAATTAATCCCTTTTCCTCGTAATAGTTTTTGCTGAAGCGCATCCTATACTGAACCTGTGGCAAGATCTCTTTTCAGTACTTGACTTCTTCAAGCCTGCTTTTCCAATTTTTGTGTTTTTGTCAGTTACTCACTTTGCATACCTTGTCCTCTCTACCTCTGCTACATTAAAAGCCATGACTGTGCCATTGCATGCTGAGATGCTCTGACAAATGCCTAAGAACCTGTCCCCACAAATCACCACAACACTGCTTATGAAGCCAGCGTAGGAGCCACAGATGTTGGCCACTAGGATTCCCTAAATTATCTTTTAATATTAGGTTACTTTTGCCAAATGCTGAACGACTAGTGTTTCCAGGCTACAAAGATCAGAATGGTGGACTTTTTCATCCGCTAGGAGCACCCATGCGGTGTTGTTTAAGCTGAGCTGATGAAATCTCCACAGAGGTTACCTGAACAAAGCACCATACAAATGCTTGTGTCTGAAGACACAATGAGACATCTATCTGTGTGTTCTTGGAGTTTTTCCGAGGGTTTAACCAGCAACTGGCCTGGAACAGTAGCTTAAACTCTTATCAGTAACTGCGCTATTTCAAAGTACTGGCATTCTCCCAGGGTATCTTCCTGGGTGTCAAAATTTAACCTGCTGCCAAAGCAAACAGAACACCAAACCCCACAATGAACACACAGTCCTTATTTTTTTAAAAAGAAAAACAACAGGGGCACCTGGGTGGCTCAGTTGGTTAAGCATCCGACTCCTGGTTTTGGCTCCGGTTGTGATCTCAGGGTCATGAGACTGAGCCCTGTATCCAGTTCAGTGCTCAGCATGGC